GACGGCCCCGTTCATAACGTGCAGCACGCACTGCACTCCCACAAAGGAGGCCACACCCACAGAGTAGGTTCAAACAATTTTTGAAACCCACCACTGATTGCAAGATATGGAATAGGTGGTATAATTGGCTAAAAAAGAGATTTAAAAATAATGCATGATGAATACATAGAAAATATAACAAAAGGAAATGATATATATTTAGAGAGTAATAGAGATGTAAATGTTGTATATATCTCTATATTATATAAATAATTATGAAATAAGGAGGGATATGAATAAAACAATCAGCCTTAGAATGGAAAATTTGAAATTAGGAAACAAAATGCCAATAACGGAAAGCTGTAAAAATATAATTGTGATTTTAACATTCAAAAAATGTTGAATAAAAATTATTTAAAAGAAAAAGAAAAGCAAGAATTTGCAAACTGAAAGGGAAATGTAGGCATTGATCAAACTGGAAGAGGTCAGAGTCTCTTCAGGAAGCCAGAGGATTGTATATACAGCCGATCGACATACAAGGAAAGGTTACGGGGTGTGAATCTGGTAGATGCGTAGCAGAAGTAATAGCAATAGCAATAGCACTTAGACTTATATACCACTATATAATGCTTTACAGCATTATCTGGGTGCTTTACAATGTCAGCATATTGCCCCCAACAATCTGGATCCTCATTTTATCCACCTCAAGGGGGCAGGGTTTTTGGAGGCCAAAAGTGCTGTATTCAGTGTATAAAACGCACCCAGATTTTCACCCTCTTTTTTGAGTGAAAAAGGTGTATCTTATACTCCGAAAAAATATGGTATGTCCATCTGTAAGAACCACAATGCCTTGGAGACCTTCAAGACAAATGTATTCTTGCATAGGTTTTTTTATGGCTCATAAGTCCTCAGATGCATGAAGCGAAGTTTGTACACTAATAAATCAATTGGTCTTCCGAATTGTAGAAGTTTCTTTGTTGTCTTTCTCCAAAAGCTCTTATTCATTCCACGTAGACAATTGTGGATCTTCTACATCAACTTCCATAAAGTTACACTGGGACCTATATTTCATATCCTACTGTTTTAGAGTCGTACTTTGGCTACCTTGCAATGGAGTCAAGTGTCACCACTAACCAATATTAGTGTCTAAATATGTTTTGCCCCATCCCCTACTTAAGCCCATTCTACTAGCTTACTCCTTTGTGGTTCTCTTGCGCATGGTTAGTATATTAGCTCTTGAGTCAGAAGCCAAGAAAATGAACTCCCAATAGCCTTTCCAGACATAGGGTAATTCATTACTTACCTTGATTTCCACTTAAAATGTACTTTAACTACACTTCCAGCTACAAACCTTAAATCACCTCTCATGTTCGCAGAAAGTCCATCATTTTTTATTTTATTGCCAAGTGTTGGCATGACATAATCCTTTCCTGAGCGTCTCTGAGTGTTTTACAGATCAATAAATTACTTACTTTGTGTCAAAGACAATGAATGCAAAGGCGATGTGTCCATTCCGCATTTATCCAGCTTCCTTGTTAAAAAAAAAAAAGACTGGAAAAGTGATTGGCACATGGATGGGACATAGGGAAGGAATTGCGGAAAACAGATTCCATATTAAAGTATGGAGGATCCTTTTTTTGGGGGGGTGATGTGGGTGGGGGGGTGGATGGATGGATAGGCAGATGGATGAACTTGTAGGTATTTGATTATTAAAGTACATTCAAATATATGAGCATCTCTCAACCAAAGGTTTCCATATCATGAAATAAATAGGAAGTATGAAGCCATATCATGAAGACATGGCTATGTGAACTTAAATTTGCTAAGGTTTTAGGCTAAGAGGGAAGAGGTGTATAAATGCCAAAACTTCATGGAAAAGAAAACTCAGGCTTTGAAAATGTTAAATGTATGATGAGATTGATCCAATAGTATGCCAAGGGCATATTAATACATGATGGACTGGAGGGAGAGATGGGAATATATATATATATTTTTATTCTTGACACATATTCTCATAAGGAGAGCTTTATCTACACTGCTAGGTTTATTCTCCCAAACTATGCGATCTGAGAGAATATAATCGGTATACAATTGTGAATGAGTTGATCCAGTTACCCAATTAAACATATTTAGCCATCCATCCACCCACCCATTCATCCTTCTGAGTTATTTTTGACAGGGAACCTAGAATCTCTCTCTCTCTCTCTCTCTCTCTCTCTCTCTCTCTCTCTCTCTCTCTCTCTCTCTC